AGAACTGTTTCCCTCTTCCTCTGATCCCAGCGATAACGCCCCCACCATCTTCCAATCCTTTATGAATGAGATTTTCCAGGATATGATCAACCGCTTTCTCATCGTCTACATTGATGACATCCTGATTTACTCCCACTCCCTGAAGGAACACATACCGCATGTACAAAGGGTTCTTCAACGGCTCCTTGACCATAACCTTTATGTGAAGACTGAAAAGAGCACCTTCCATGTAACCTCAGTAAACTGCCTAGGTTTCGTACTGACACCTGGAGGGGTCAGCATGGATGAGAAAACAAAGTCACCGCCATCAGTAACTGGCCCAAATCCACCACCGTTAAGGTTCTTCTATCGACGGTTCATTCGGAACTTCAGTTCTACTGCCGCTCCCCTCACTGCCCTTACCAGCCAAAAGACCCGGACCCTTCAATGGACCGATACCGCCCTGACTGCTTTCAACAACTTGACATGCCTCTTCACCTCAGCTCCTGTCCTTCGCCAACCTGATCCGACCCTTCCTTTCACCCTGGAGGTGGATACCTCCGAAGTAGGTGTAGGAGCCATACTCTCTCAGCGGGTGGGAACACCTCCAAAATCACATCCCTGTGCCTTCTTCTCCAGGAAGTTATCCTCCGCTGAGAGGAATTACAATGTGGGGAACAGAGAACTCCTCGCCATCAAGCTGGCCCTCGAGGAGTGGCGCCACTGGTTGGAGGGCGCACAACATCCCTTTCTCGTCCTAACAGATCATCGTAATCTGGAATATATCAGAGGGGCCAAGAGGTTAAACTCCAGGCAAGCCCGCTGGGCTCTCTTCTTCACACGCTTCCATTTTCATGTTACTTACATCCCTGGAAAGATCAACGTAAAAGCTGATGCTCTCTCCCGCCAGTTTGACCTTCCGACCAGTAACTCAGACCCTACACCCATTCTTCCTTCCTCTTGCATTATGGGACCGGTACTGTGGGAGGTTCACTCTGCCATACAAGAAGCCCTAACCTCAGACCCAGCTCCTCCTGAGACACCAGCTGGGAAGAGTTACGTACCAGCAGCTGTTAGACCCCAACTGATGCAATGGTGTCACACGTCCTTGGGGTCAGGACATCCGGGCATTACACGAACCACTGAACTTCTAGCCTGTAAGTTCTGGTGGTCCTCACTGGCATCCGACGTAAGGGATTATGTACTCTCCTGTCCAATCTGCGCCCAAACCAAAAGCCCTCGTTATCTCCCTTCCGGTAAGCTTCAACCTTCGACCTTCCTGGATCCTCTGGTAACACCACCATCCTTGTCATAGTAGACCGTTTTTCAAATATGTATCGTCTGGTTCCTCTTCCTCATTTACCTAACGCCATGGAATTGGCTGAGTGTATGTTCCAGCAGGTGTTCCATCTGTATGGGATTACGGAGGACATCGTCTCTGACCGCGGGGCTCCAGTTTGTCTCCCAGGTGTGGCGAGCCTTCTGTGACCGACTGGGGGTCGCCCTCAGCCTCTCCTCCGGGTACCATCCCCAGACCAATGGGCAGATGGAACGCCTGAACCAAGAAATAGGGAAGTACCTCCGCTAACAATGTTCTGCCTCTCCACATGACTGGATTCGGTTTATGGTCTGTGTCCCTTGGTCTGTCTTTGTGAGATGTGGTGTGGGTGAACGGATGATCTCTGCATGTGTATTTCCCACCGTAAAGCATGGAGGAGGAGGTGTTATGGTGTGGGGGTGCTTTGCTGGTGACACTGTCTGTGATTTATTTAGAATTCAAGGCACACTTATCAAGCATGGCTGTGTTACTCCTGCCCCGCCGGCAGGTACAAAGGTAACGTTGCGGTAGTTCCGTTCTCTGTCTATTTAATTTCAACTCATTTAACTTAGAAATTAAATTATAGTTGCTAATAGTAGAGGACATATATACTGTACGTTGTTTTTCATAAAATATGGTAGCTCTATCAAACTCTGAGTAAATAGGAAAGATCTAAAAGTGTTACTTCCGTCCCGGCTCTACCCTAATCCATTTTTACCGTACCAAAAATGTTACTGAAATCTAATTTACAGTTCTAATTGCAATTACAGCATATTACTGTAATTACCAAATGGCATATTACCCAATTGAATGTTTTAATTACATTGACATTTTGGTTATTTAGCGGGCGCTCTTGTCCTTAGCAACTTGCAGTTGGTGCATTCAACCAAGGTTGATTCAAAATACATGCCACAGTCATAGCAAGTAAAACGTCTCTGTATAACCGTTACTGAAAATGTTGCTTTAGTTAAGGGTAGACTGGTCTTCAAAATAATTTGAAGGTATGCGTTGAAATTGCTAAGCAGTGTACTTCAAAGCCGTGTGCCAAAGCCTGTTTCACTTTATCAGAAGCACGTGATCAATGACATCTGAAGCTTTGTTCATCGAACAACCACCTGATTGGTTTGGTATTGGTTTCGGCAGAAGACAAAAAGGCTACGCTGTGCACTTGCTATGGAGTGTGGGACATGCAGGTGCCACTAGTGTACACTTTGTTACAAGCTATAGGCCGATAGGGTTGACATCTCATGTATGTAAACTTATGGAAAGGATGATAACGGAAAGGCTGACGTACTTTCTGGAGAGTAGAGGACTAATGTCACCAGATCAAAGTGGGTTCAGGAAAGGCAGGGGAACGATGGATCCTGTACTGTGCCTTGAGTAAGTCATACGGAAGGCACAGGCAAATAAGGAGGTGGTGGTAGCCGTTTCTTTGATGTAGAGAAGGCTTATGATATGATGTGGAAGGAAGGCCTACTTATCAAGCTGGATAACATGGGGGTTGGAGGAAGGGTTTTCAACTGAATGAAGGATTTTCATTTTGGGCGATCAATAATAATAATAATATGCCATTTAGCAGACGCTTTTATCCAAAGCGACTTACAGTCATGTGTGCATACATTTTTACGTATGGGTGGTCCCGGGGATCGAACCCACTACCCTGGCGTTACAAGCGCCATGCTCTACCAATTGAGCTACAGAGGACCACAATACAAGTGAGGGTGGGGAGATCTATGTCAGAAAGCTATGAGGTGGATAATGGTACCCCCCAGGGAAGTGTCATTAGTCCTTTGTTGTTCTCCATTATGATTGATGATGTATTCTCTCAGGTGAGACCTGATATTGGGAGGTCATTGTTTGTGGATGATGGAGCGCTGTGGAAGAGAGGGAGAAATATGACCCATACAGCCAGAAGAGTTCAAGAAGCGATTAGTGAAGTAGAGCAGTGGTCCCTCAGGTGGGGCTTCAAGTTTTCAGTTGAGAAAACACAGACTGTGTTTTTTTCTAGAAGGAAGGTTGTGGAGGAAATATACTTGAAGTTGTATGGAAGGAATCTAGAGAGGTTGGGAGGGTTTAGGTTCCTGGGGGTCTGGTTTGACACTCGAATAACATGGGCGGAGCATATTAACAGAGTAGTTGTCAAAGGAAAGAAAATATTGAATGTGATGCGTTGCTTGTCAGGAATGGAGTGGGGGGCAGATAGAATGGCGTTGAAAATGATATATATAGCGCTGTTAAGGTCATCAATGGATTATGGAAGTATAGCATATGGATCAGCAGCTCAGACATCTTTTAAAAAGCTAGATGTTATCCAGGCCCAAGCCCTAAGAATATGTTGTGGAGCACTCAGGACCTCCCCAGTGGCAGCGATGCAGGTAGAGTTGGGAGAGATGCTGTTAAAGTTAAGAAGACAACAGCTAGCCATGACATATTGGGTAAATCTACAAGGACAAAAGGTTACACATCCTACAAAAAAGGTGCTACTAGAGTGCTGGGAACATGAACACAATCTGAATACAAGCTTTGGGTGGATAGGCAATTCCATGGTGAGAGAGATGGGGTTGTTTGAGAGGGAGTTTAGCCCCTCTGTGGTTCTTCCTGCTATCCCACCTTGGTTTCTCCCTCAACCAGTGATAGATCTAAGGTTGCTTGAGAGGGTAAGAGATGTTGAGGAAGGAGTAGATTCAGTTGTAAGTGAACATTTAAGAACACAATACTATGCTTTCTTGAATATATTCACAGTTGGATCTAAGGACCCTAAAACAGGGAGGACAGGAGCAGCTTTTAGTGTTCCTGAGTTTAAGGTGGCAGTGACAAAAAGAGCAACAGATCATTTATCTGTTTACTCAATGGAGTTGTTGGCCATACTATTGGCTGCAGAGTGGGTGGAGGAGGTGTGGCCAGACAGGGTAGTCATCTGCTCTGACTCCAGTGCAGCACTGATGAGCTTAAATTCAAGTGTGTCTCAGAGCAGACAGGATGTATTGTAAGAGGTTTTGCAGTGTTTGTATGGGGTGAAACAGATTGGGGTATTTGTGATGTTCCTCTGGGTACCAGCTCATGTGGGAGTAGAGGGGAATGAGGAAGTGGATATTATTGCCAAGCAGGCTCTTAAACATCCTAATGTTGAGATGGAATTGTCAGTAAAGCAGAAGCCAAGGGATTAATAAGAACAGTGGTTAAAAATAAGTGGCAAGAGTTGTGGAACAGGGAGAGTAAGGGAAGACACCTGTATAAGATCCAGGAAAAAGTGGGGGCAGGGAGGTCCTCAGGCTGAGAGAGGTGGGAGGAAAGTGTAGTCACTCTGCTGAGACTGGGACACACAAGGCTAAATACTACATTGAAAGTGGTGGGGAAACATCCAACTGGGAGATGTGATCATTGTCAGGAGGAGATGGAGACAGTGGAACATGTTCTATTTCAGTGCCAGAAATATGTGAGAGAAAGGGAGCGATTGTTATTAGATTTGAGGAGTAATGGGGTTGAAGAGCCAGGATTAACTGCTGGGGAAATCTTCAGGGGATGTGGTATTTAATTATGTATTTCGTTTCCTTAGGGAGATTATTGGGTAGGATTTAGACCTTCACTGTTTTTGGTTCACACTCCAGTCCAGTTTGTGGCGGTAATGCACCTTAAAGTTGGTTGCCAACCGCCATTTAAAATCCACAGAAGAAGAAGAAGAAGAAGAAGAAGAAGAAGAAGAAGAAAAAGGAAGCTCCAGAGCCGCCATTTCATATACGAGCAGCTGAGAGAACGGGGTGAGGTGGGCCTAGAAATTGGCAAAACAAAAACAAATCTAAAATAACGATTTTGATCTTCGTCTGGTTGTCTCATTTTGAGGAGCAAAGATGAGCTACGGAAGGCCTCCGCCCGATGTCGAGGGTATGTCCTCGCTCAAAGTGGACAATCTCACGTACCGGACCTCGCCTGAGACCCTACGCCGAGTTTTCGAGAAGTATGGCCGGGTGGGAGACGTGTACATCCCCCGTGATCGGTACACCAAGGAGAGCCGCGGTTTCGCCTTTGTGCGGTTCCACGATAAGCGCGACGCTGAAGACGCGATGGACGCCATGGATGGGGCCTTGCTCGACGGGCGGGAACTGCGAGTACAGATGGCGCGCTATGGCCGGCCACCAGACTCTCACTTCGGGCGCCGAGGCGGCGGTGGACCCCCAAGGAGGCATGGAGGCTACGGTCGCAGGAGCAGGAAGGTAAGCTCAGGGACCAGTTTAAATCAATAAAAAACATTGTAGTTAGCCAAGTGTACCTAGCGATTGTAACATTGTTGTAACTTCAATGTACTGGCCAATTTCAGCCAAATTTGCAATGGTTTTTAATTTACCTAGCTAGTATAATTAGTAGCCCAAACGCCGGCAGATGGCGATAATTAGTTATTTAATCTTACCTTCCAAAGGCAATGTATTCAGCCAGCTATACACTCATATCCCCGAGTTTGTACATAAAACATTCTCAATTCAGGCTGCAAAGGTGTTGATTTCCTCCTTAACTCTATTTAATGGCGAGAAGGCGGGTAAGGAGGAAATAAAAACCTTTGTAGCCTGAATGGAAATTGTTTTATTTACAAACCGGTCCATGGGGGATATGAGCATGTAGCCGGCTACATAAATTCCCATTGGACTGTAAGATGAAGCAACTCAATATCGTCATTTGCCGGCCTTTGGGCTAGTTAGCTAGCTACCACGTTATCAGTTGAGTTTGCAAGTTGCAATGACGATATTGTAATTAGTTAATCAAAAACACATTTATCTAGCTAAACATTTCTACATTTTCCTCCTAACCCCCCCCAGTCGTTCGGCCAGCCCCCGCCGGCGCAGACGCAGTCGTTCCCGAAGCAGGAGCCGCAGCCGTGGCCGTGACTACAGCCGCTCCCGGTCTCGTTCCTCCTCTAGATCCCGTTCCAAGTCCCGCACACCCTGCAAGAGCAAGTCCCCGTCCCGATCGAGGTCCCGCAGCCGCACCCCGGCTTCCAACAGAGGGTCAAGGTCGAGGTCCAAGAGCATGCCCAAATCCACCGAGGACAACGGAATCGAGTCTTAGTAACAACAGTTCCAACCCGGACCCAGTAAGACGGTACACAGGGGAGGGGAGAATGGGGGTGACCATCGGACAGCCACAGATATGTTTGAGTCATGGAGATAGTTATAGGATGCAACATTGCATATGTCCTGTTTTGAAGTAGTACATCTTCTACTACCTCTGAGTTGGTAAACAAACTGAAAGGTTGACGATTTACTGCCACCTGCAGTTATGGAATGTTTTCTCACTAGTATAATTAATTTGCTGATCCATCCAGATGACCTGGATGAAATTATGTGATCCTTCCTTAACCCATAGGAAGTCCCACCCAGTTGACTACTTCAAAGTGATAAAAGTCCTCAATGGCGATGCTAAAATGTATTTTGGGCACTAGTCTCTATGGTTTGCTGAATGTAGGACACATAATTACATAAGGAACAATTATAGGAACTCTATGGTAGGACACTACAGTGTTCTGCAACCTTAATAGTCTCTTGAATATTTGGGTTTAGTCACCAGCGTTGCAGTGTACCAGTCAAAACTGCAGAATCATGACCCTGGTGTTTCACTTGGTGTTGTAGAGGAAACTGGAAACTTAAGTAGTGTACAGAACAAACATTAAGTAATGTGTAGAACGTGCAAGCTACAAAAAGTAAAGTCAGGAAATAGAGATGGATACCTGCACTGCACACTGAATGTGCCCACAGATTTATTCAACAGTGTGTGGGTGTCTACCAATGTTTTAAACCCAACCAAACTGTCACATGAGCTAACATTGGTTTGGGGTAGATGTTATCTACAGAGCAGGTCAGGGGTATAGTTGGCTAAAATTGTTATTTATAAAATGGGCCAGGGCTTATAATTTTTTTGAGATGGGGTGTATTTATTGCGGGGTGCTGAAATCAAACCTAAATGTGGAATTCTCTCCTCCAAGCTGCGGTGTCCTGTTGTCAATCCGAGAGGATGTGGGGGTGTGGCAGATGGCAGTGTAAGAGCAGTTAGTGTGTTGTGACGCGACCTGCCTAAGGCTGTTGGTGGGGGGATGGCGGTTGCTATGGAGCAGGTCGTCAATGGTGGTGCGTGCTGTCAGTTGGTGAGATACTGTATGTTCACAGGACCACAGACAGAATGCTGCTGGCTGTACCGCTGTGTGTGTCTGGTCTCACTGGTGCAGGAGGGAGGACCCCAAGGTTTGTTGTCCAATAAATGCCTGAGTAAAAATAAGATTCAAATTGAGTTGTGGGGGGGGCCTTGTAGTGTGAAGACCACAAACGCTGTTAGGAACTCTGTTCTTTGCCAGTAACGTGGACAACTGACATGTTAGATCACCATTTAAAAACAAACTGACGAGCCCTCGATGGAATGGCTGAGAAAGGGGGTTTTCTATCGGACTTTAGATTAACACAACTAGACAATCAACTGTTCTCAAATAAGCAGCCTACCCTTTTGACCTCCACCAACACAGCTTGTCTTGTTTTCTTTCCAGATGTCAGACGATTGAGACATCTTCTCTGTGGATGTCGACCAGAGCATAAGTCTGCCAGTGGACACCTTTCTATGCCCAACAGAATACTGACCAAAAGGTTGTGACTTGGTCTAAAATGTTTTAAATGCTTCATTTTGGTTTGTTGCCCTGAAAGACTCTGTACTATATATTTACCAATGCGTGTAATGCCGTTGACTAGAGTCAAGGACATGTTTAAAGTTTTTGTGAGGTGAAGTGGTTTTTGTCTCATTGTTAGTGCTGGTTTGTTGCATATGAATTTGATTTCAACTTCTTGTTAATACATTATTTATGGTGATGTAGCTACACTTTTTTTCTTTTTAATTTAGTAGTCTTTTATTCTCTACAGAAGGATTCCCCTATTGAGTTACTGCTGTTATTCTTTTTTGCAGAGTTGAATTTAGCAAAGACAGTGACCCTAAAGAAAATGTTTTCCATTATTTTCTAAGCAAAACTAGCAACATGTAGAGGGAAACCATATAAGCCAAGATTGTATAAAAAAAAATCTAACATTGTGTGATTTGCTAACCTACCTAGCAGTGCAGATACTATGTTTTTTGTTTTATGCATGTATGTACACTGAGTACACAACATTAGGAACACCTTCCTGATATTGAGTTGCACCTCCCCCTTTGCCCTCAGAACAACCTCATTTTGTCGGGGCATGGACTCTACAAGGTGTCGAAAGCGTTCAACAGGGATGCTGGCCCATGTTGACTCCAATGCTTGCCACAGTTGTCAAGTTGGCTGGATGCCCTTTGGGTGATAAACCATTTTTGATACACACGGGGAACTGTTGAGCGTTAACCCAGCAGCGTTGCAGTTCTTGACACAAACCGGCGCACCTGGCACCAACTACCATACCCTGTTCAAAGGCACTTAAATATTTTGTCTTGTGCATTCACCCTCCGAATGGCACACATACACAATCCATGTCTCCAAGGCTTAAAAAGTATTCCCCTTCATCTACACTGATTTGAAGTGGATTTAACAAGTGAAACCAATAAGGGGTCATACCTTTCACCTGGTCAGTCTGTCAAGGTGTTCTTAATGTTTACTATACTCAGTGTATATTGTTGATACATTTTTTTATGTCTCTGGTATGCATTTACTTTCCTGTGAATTCTAACCCCCTCTTGTGTCATCTTTTGTGCAATAGGCGCAGTTGTGTAGCAGTTGAGTATTGCTGGTTAGCTGTTAAGGTGCGATGCAGTGCTGATGATGGTGAGGTGGCTGGCGGGGGCGTTGCGGTGCCCGGTGCAGTTGCTTCCCGGCTCTCGGCTTGGTGCTGCTGCCGTTTGCCTGGTTCTGGTTTGTAAGAATAAATCAATCACAGCTGTGGTGGCAGATCTGATCATCCCATCTCTCTCCCTGTGTTGTCATATGGTCTCTACCATTCCTGATGTACAAATACAATTCTTCTCTTTCTCCATCCCAACCCTAGCCTGGTGGAACCAAACTGATCGCTGTGTTTAACATTGTTTCGATCAGGCTGGTTCCACCAGGTTATCCTACCCCCTCCTCCAACTGTGGTTTAGTCCTCTGTTGTGAGCTGGTTGTACCCAGTGTTGATGGAGTCTATTATGGCTCGATAGAGGAGGGTTGGATAAAGGGCATTCCACTAGCTTGATAAATTAGTCTCAGTGCATTATTTTGTGAACCCTCACAAGATGTCTTGTAACTGCTTCAGGTGAACGCTAATAATAAATGTGGTACATTTGTTGTTATGGACTGTTATTAGGTCAGATGTTGCGAGAGCTTGTCTGTAATGGTTGGCTTCGCTCCTTCACAGAGCTAGCCAAGACACAAATACATTTAATGTTGAGCCAATACAGCATATTACAATTTCAGCAAGTTTATACACTTCTAAAAATGACATCAAAAGGCAACGCATTGATGAGACCCTTTCCTTTTTATATGCACAAGCCTGTACCTGACTTGGTGTTTTCTCTATACACCCCCCCATGTCAGTTTGCAAACAATGTTTTACTTTTCTTTATACGTAATAATCCTTGAGTTAATAAAGCCGACTACAAACATGGTCTCTTTCTTGAGTAAGGCAGCTCCAAAATGCCGGTGTTTCAGCTTAGCTCGGTGCTGTCTGTGGTGGAGGATCAGCCAGGGAAAGCGCAGAGCGTAGGCGTTTGTAATCTTCGCTAGTTGCGCTGTGATTGGCTCAGTGTTCTGTCACTCATGGGGACACTGTCACCGCAGAATCTACAGGGAGAGCTACGCAGCAGTGTTGCCAATTTAGCGACTGTCGCTATATTTAGCGAGTATTCAGACCCCTCTAGCGACACATTTTCAAAAAAGTGACTCGTGACAAATCTAGCGACCTTTTTCTGGTGTTATTGGAGACTGACGCGAAAGCACGTATCGTTCTTACTCTTTTCAACGAGCAGTGGGGGCCCCACCCCCGTCCCAAAGCACTCACAGGCGGCCCAGTCCTCGCGCAGCTTTTTACTCACTTTTTGTCTCTCCCGCAACGTTATTCCTCTCTCCTACAGCATCCATCACAATTACATGCACATAACCAATTATGCAAATTAGGTGATGACGTCATTTAGCGACTTTTAGGACAGCCAATAGCTACTTTCCTTACTGAGGAGTTGGCAACACTGCTAGGCAGTTCAAGCCCACTTGGGTGCTGTCATAGATTTACATTAGAAGTGCCCGTCCAAGAAGGCTCAAGGTCATTGGCCACAGATAAAATTACATCACTGATCATGTCAACGTCATACTTTCAAAATCTTAACTAGCTAGACAAGCAGTCATCATGAATCATGTCGACAATCTTCTGGCAAATCCTTTTCAATCCTTGTCATATGAAGAGAAATTATAGATAAAATGTATCGGTGCTCATCTGCCATTGGACATAAACATTACACAGTAAGTAGAAAATTGCAAATTCAACAATGAGTGGTTTGGAAAGATTCAGTGGCTAACTGTGAGCGTTGCAAAGCGATCACTATTTTGCTTCCCTGCCTGCTATTCGGTGGAGCAGGGTGTGGTCCAAGTCTGGGTTTAAGGATTTAAAATGTCTGAAAGGGTCTCTTTTTCTAAGATTAAAAGGATAAACATTCACACCCAACACCATGGATCAGGAAAGGTTGAATGCATTGGCCATGCTGTCAATCCAGCATGACTTCTGCGGCGTCCAAAACAACTGGGAACTCGGAACTGAGAAATCTCTGACTTCAATGCGTTCAAGACAACTGGGGAACTCTTAAAAAAAAAAAAAAAGCTCAGACTGGGAAAATACGTTTTGAATGGTCATCCAACTTGGAATTCTAAGTCGGGAACTCTGGCCTCTTTCTAGAGCATCAACCTGAACATCAGTGGTGGAAAAAGTACCCAATTGTCATAATTGACTATAAGTAAAGATACAGTACCTTAATAGAACATTACACGAGTGAAAGTCACCCAGTAAAAAGTACTAATTGAGTAAAAGTCAAAAAGTATTTGGTTTTAATATACTTAAGTATCAAAATTATATGTAATTGCTAAAATATACTTC